AGACTACTATACCCTGCAAAACTCTCTTTCAAGTTTGATGGAGAAGTGAAATACTTCCATGACAAAGAACAGCTAAAAAATTTCGCGATGATAAAAATATTTCTAGGTTTGAGAGTTGCCATGAACTTTCCCAAACACGTTCATTTTTGTGCTTCCATGTGTGCCGATTTACCTTTTTTACTCAAATCATTGGAATGGATAATTACAAGATGACCACTCCAGGTGATTTTGACAAGTCTATGGTATATCCTCCCACATATTATTGCACTATTAAATTTTGTTTCTGGCAGATTGGCCTTTACATTAAGTGGTTTTATAAAGTTTGGTAAGTTGTGGCATATGCAATTTTATCAGGAGTAAAAAGTAATCCCCAGTCAAAAATTGAGTTTGTTATTTGACTCCTAAGTAACAAGCTAAGTTCTGAGGGGACACTAAGTTTTAAGGACAAGCAAAACATGTAGAGATACTCTTTAAAAGTAGATGAGACTGCCCATATCTCAGAAAGCCATTACATTATTTTTCCAAAAATCACACTTGTAATTTACTGGATTGGTTTAGTGAGTTCACCAGGTAATTTCTCTGTTCCAGCATTATGGAATTGTATTCTCTTTTGCTGCCGTAATGTGCAGGGCAGTGCCACTGAGGAACTCTGCTGGAATCATTTAGGCTGAGTACCTCCATGAGTATGTATACTATCTTGAAATCCCACTACAGTATCCAGATGGAAAAAGAATTGTGAAGGGTGGGGGAAGACTACCTTAATGCAGAAATTATAAGCTTCCTTTTGTTACTGAAAGTACCACAATCACACATGATCTAAGACAGAAAAAGTCATACTTGGTTTTTTCCTTTTTACTTCTACCAAAAATACAGGAATAAAAATGTTGGATAGCAAAATAAATAAAAATCAAAGCATAAAATTAGTGCTTTTTGAAATTTGGAAAGTTATTTTTCTTTCTCTCAAAGAGAAATGGAGCAGAATTTACAAAAAGTTCATTAACCTACGGAGATAAAGTAGACACAAACATATTTTTTCTGAGTCAGGCATGGTGGGGTATGCCTGTACTCCTGGTGGCTGAGGCAAGAGGATTGATTACATGTTTGAGCCCAGTCTTGGCAACTTGAGCCCAGCAAGACCCTGAAAATAAAAGTTTTGTTAAGAATGTTATTCAGTGTGAAGGGTCTTAGTCCAATCACCAGTACTGCAGAAAAAAATAAATGTTTTTATGAACTGAAATAGGGATGGGGAGATGGCTCAGTGGAATAAGCACTTCCCTGGCAAGCACAAGGGCCTGAGTTCAATCCCCGGTTCCACAAAAAAGG